AGAACCCTTCCTGCCTCCTATCAGCATGGCTAAGGATGATCTCCAGGACAGTGACTCGTGCCTTCTCGGTCTAACATTTTCCACCGACATGAAGTGGAAATATCTATCGAATTAATTACTAGATTTCTGTTTCGTACTAGACAATTTTTCTCGTCCGAATCTTTCTTATATGCTTACAAGTCTACCATTCGTCCATGCTTACAATATTGCTGCCAGATAAGGTCTGGTGATCCTGCTATATATTTTGACATCCTTGATAAAATAAAAAGAAGAATTAACAATCTCATTGGTCCCGTCATCTACACTTTAGTGACCTTTCCCCGCCATAATGTCGCTTCTCCTGTTCTTCTATTAATACGTTCTTGGTAATTGCTCTGACGTATTCTTCTGTGGTACCTCGATTCTATAAATTTAAGCTCAGTACTAGATTGGCGATAAGATCTCACCATTTTACTGTTAAATATCTATATGTAACCCTAAGTTCTATGCTTACAGTTTCTTTTTTTTCACTCGTCGCTTGTGAAAATTGCTGCCGTTTTCTTGCTTTCCAGTGAACTTTGATCTTCAAAAATTTAAATGCACTTTCAACCGTTCCCTTCTCTTTTCTTAATATTTCTTCATTCATTGTTCTCGCTTCTTAATAATGTTTTCTTATATTATTTCACAATCATTAACTCCCTGAGTCATAGTGAATTTGATGGCTTGTTTTGTTAGACATTGAATTGTATCACTTCATGTCTTCCATAAACTTATCTGACTTCCGTTAACCTGATAAATATTGATGAACTTTCCTATACATAATGATTTTTGCTCTTCTATATAAATACTTGTTACAAAATAAAATCCTTACATTTGCCTTGATAAACTCTCTCAGACGAAAGTTTTCCTTTTGTCTTTATTCATAATAATTTACAGATATACTCTCATCATATATATATATATATATATATATATATATATATAAATAGAGTAAGTACGACAATTATTGAATGTATTTTCTGTTTATACGTTATTTTTAAAGATATAAGCTATTTAAATAAAAGTTGTTTATAATTAAACAGTATTAATTACATTTACCAGCCTGAATGTTCGAGAAATTTCGTACATACTACGCGATCTTCTGACAGGAATCGAACCTGTAACCCTTATATCAGCCGTCATATAGCCTGATGTGCCGTTACCATTCAGCCACAGAGAAGCGTCTTGGTTAGCAAAGTCCGAATTACTGTTTATAAACACACATCTTCGACGATTTTCACACTTTCGCTTTGATTGCCAGCCAGATTAGGAGAATGCAAACATTAAATTCAAAACCTCTTATTGTTTAGGGGTGGCCTTCCCGTATAATAAAAACTTACTTGCAAGGGAAACCGCAGCAGGAAATTTTAGTTTGATGAGGTTGTGGTCCCGCATTCCACAGGGCAGTCTCTCGGGTTAATACACGATACAAAAATATCGAGTCTTTTTTAATTCCGATTTAAATTAAAGAACATTCGGCTGATAAAAATATGACCATTTTTGCTTTAGAATCTAAAAATATATCCCTTTGCTGCAGTTTTCTGCATAAATTCTAATTTATTTGACGATGTATTATATTCGTTATTGATGCGATTGTGATCGACGAAGTCTGTGAATCATTGAAATCCTACTAAATTCCACACGCACATCTTTCTTCTCCCTTCTATCTCCATGCTCACATATAACATGCCATTGTTGAAATAACAAAATTTTCTCGAGGGCACAAAAAGCATTCCTGGTCATATGCCATTTATATCGGAGGACCACGCTCCTGCACGCACGCCACAGACAAATACTTTCTTCATTTTTTTTTTCGTAGTATGTTCTCTGTTGAATAAAAGAGAACTGAAGCTAAGCAGGGAGCAAACCGAAAGAGTATCAACATAAATTGATCAATGACTTCATGGCTACTATCACTTTTATCACAATCGATCGAAGCATTTGTTTGCGATCGTGATTGAGAGCAACAACAGACTCGACGTCGCCATCTTGGACCTTTGGCGGGAAAGGCTTAGGAATATTTTCTAAAAGTTCAGAGTGAGAGTACCCGAACATGTTTTGATGTTTGAGACAAGTTGGCTTGCGTTCAGTTAAGACGAAAGCATTGAACATTAAAAAAACATACACACATTGTTGGTATCAATATTATTATTAGTAGTAGTAGTAGTAGTAGTAATATTCGTTATTTACGTTTTTGTATAGTTTTATCTTTTATTCACTGCTTATTTCCAGAGTTTCATCTTGCCTTTATTAGTAACATTTGTTATTATTTGTTTACACGTTATTAAATTCTTTTTTATTTCTTATCGCTTTTCTTTCTCTTTCTATATAACGTTTCTTCAGTTTTACATACTTGTTTTTAGATTTCTTGCTTTTTAATTTTTTTTCTAATTCTTGTTCTTTCTTGTCTGGAGGTCTGAGATTAAAATCTTTCATTGTTCTGTACATAATTCACTGTATCGCCTTTAGCGTTATTAAAACAATATTTCGGTCGGTAAATGTTTCTGCTTTTCGGAGGTGCATATAGATTATACAAAACATACGTCATTTGAACAGGTGTATCCTTTGTTTTCTGTTTTCACATTTGGTTTCTTCTGACCCATTTTCACTAGCCGCTTGCATCTTAGTCGCATTAACGCCTTACTTGGGGATGAAATGATTGAAACAAAGCCTGGAGAAATGCAAACTCTTTAGTTAGCTGAAGCGAATAGTAAAACGATCCAGTCGCAATTACGTATAATATATAGACTAACATATGGAATTCAAACACTTCTCTTACTCTTTCTTCCTATATTTCTTCGTGCTATTATCAGTCATACTTTTTCATTTGTTTTAATAATTAAATAGCTGTTACATCATTATTAATTATGCATTTGAATCTTCACGACAGACGTCTGGTGATTTCGCTGAGAATCAGGCAGCTGAATGCATTTAGAGAGACATTTAATTATGGCATGTCATGCAGTATAAATAGAATAATGGCGCAATGACTAAATAGCATCTTGGCTTCTTTTTTAAGCCAATATTTATTGATCAGCGGTTCCGAAACGCAAGAGAAGAAAATGGACCTAAATAATTAAGGTGGACATATGAATCAAAAAAATATTCTTCAAAAGACGGTGTTATTTTGTATTAAGAATTAATATTTGCTGATATTTTTACATATATCAAAATTTACATATATATATGCTCACATCTGTGCATCTCTCTCTCTCTCTCTTTTATATATATATATATATATATATATATATATATATATATATATATAAAATATTCTCAGAGTTAACCTATAGAAAAGACAATATTTATAAATATAAATGACTTTAGGAAAACTGTAGTTATTGCTGACGCGTTTCGTCCAATGTGGACTTTATAAAAGCAAAAAACGAAATTTCGTTTTTTTTTGCTTTGATAAAGTCCACATCGGACGGAACGCGTCAGCACAACTACAGTTTTCCTAAAGTCATTTATATATATATATATATATATATATATATATATATATATATATATATATATACACAACACAAAGCAAACATATAGTGGACACTCCCATCGTATTCGATGTATGAGGGTCAAGCAGCTCAGTTCCAAGGAACCGACAGCCAGACATCAGCACATATGATTGATTAGAGTGGTGAAGGCTTTGTGCAGAATCAACCACATTTTGAAGGAACGAATGCAGAGACCTTGTGCACTACATGCCACAAGTTCCCCAAACGACCCACCGCAGGTTTTGAATTCAGAGTTGTCCTACTCCTAGAACAGTTGCCATGCAAATCTATAGAACCCAGTCCGTCCTGCTAGTTACGCATAGCTGGAGGGAGAAGAAGAGGATTCACACCTTTCCCAAGGGTATTAGCACGTAAGTGAATTATATATATATATATATATATATATATATATATATATATTATATATATTTAAAAAAACAAACAAATCTTGCACAATACAAAGCAAAAATATTTTCTAAGGGTTTATGAATGCAGACAATCCTGAAATATTAGAAAGTTTATATTGAAATATTCGTCGGGAACCTGGAAAATGATCAAAAACCGAGAATATATATATATATATATATATATATAAAGAAATATAATGTAGTGGTTCCAACGAGAGAAAAGTATGTATATTAAAAAGAAGAGAAGAGAGGCGCCGCAAACATTTTTGGTTGTAATGTGGATTTATTTAGAAAAAATATTATGCTTTGTTTTACATAATTTTACTATATATATATATAGGCAATAATTACAGATAGATGAGTAGATATATATATGCAATAATTACAGATAGATATAAATTTTACATATAAATATATGTATTTGTGTATATGCATGTATGTATCGGCAATAATTATTAATAGAAGAATAGCATAGACATTACATAGGAATAGTATTGATCAAGGTTGTTTTCTTTTAAAATATGTCAACATTTGCTAGCTATTTAATACCGAATGTTTCTGTCTGAAGCAGCCAATGACGCTCGAACTCACTACGCATTATTAATGCACAACCAGATGAGCCTCGCTAACCTAAATAACACTGAACTTGCGGATATATCACGTTGACCCTCCGCTTCTCGCAAGATCACCTAAGTTATGTAATGTCAAGTCTTGCCAGTATCTCTATGGGTGCCGCTTAGAAATACCAGATGCTTTAAACTTGGATGTGCGGGTGGTGCAATGGATAACGGCTCGGAATTGGACTTTGGCGTGTTGAGTTCCAATTCCAGTCGAGGTCTTTATATTCACTTACGCGCAGATATCATTGAAAAATGTATGAAGGTACATCTTCTCTAAACTATGGGTTAATTAGTAGAATTTCTAATAAGAAATCCTTATTATCTCCAAATATTATTAGAATCTAAAATATTTTCTTGCTTTAAATAAGCTACAAAAGGTTGATAAGCCGTAAAATACAAATCAATCAAAACAAAATGATATTGACGTATTAGCATCTAGACAGACAAAAGACCGGCAACGATTATACAATATTTTGGTAGACAGCATTAACGTTTCTTTGCCGAGAAGGACTACAAGTTTTCTGCTGCAAAAGTCCTTTTGTGCTGTGCAGATGTTGCGAACAGAAGAAAATGTTTTTCCAAAGTCCATCCTGTTCATTGAAATCGTTTTTGACCAATGGAGTAATAGAGGACGTTACAGAAAAGAAACAGGAATTAAACTTTAGAATCGATATCCGCCATTTGACAATAGTAGTTGACGACAGTGGGACATGATGTCATCGGGCATTCTTGTTAGTTTTGTTATCAAAACAGTGTCAGAACAGATTAAAAAAAAAGGTTTCCTTTTGCCAGACCTTCCCTGACAGTTATAGAGAGAAAATATACCTTTTGCATGCAGGTCTTGTTGGACTAACAGTAGGAAATGTTTTGTAGATCTTCTTTCGCGAGGTTATTCCATAAGTTATCTAAAGTAAACCACATCCATGTAGACGTGAAAAATAAACTAACCCAGTAGATTTAAAATAATGGTTAAGTTTGAAGTTCAATGAAGGCTTCCAGTATCAAGACACCTTAAAGCGGGTGAGTACAATAAACGATAGTAAAAATAAGATGATAGTCAAAAACAAATATGAGGATATTAGTTTGCCATTAAATAATATGAATAATAATGACTTCTCATCACAGAAATTCAGACATTATGTATTCCTCTTAATTCGTATTTTCCATAAAGTTTCTCGTCTATACTGTTTTATTAGAAGCCGTACGAGTCAAAAGTAAATTCAATAATAAATCATACCAGGCAATAAAAAAATAATAAAAATGGCACGAATCCGAACAAAGACATTGTTTTGACTCAAGCCATGTGGAATGAAATAAAAAAAGAAAAGAAAGAGCACCTCTTCAGGACCAAACTGTGTCTTTGAAGTTAAATTTTCAGTTTATTGCAGCTTCTTTTCTTTGAAATAAGACAGCAAGTTTTGCCTATTATTAGACTCTTCACACTGCAATTGTGATTGAAGACTTCAGAGAAATTCCTGCAGACAAAATTCCTCAGACACCATGGTGCCTGAATGTCACGCCAAGTCGTTCAAACTTTTGTGCCAAAATCTGGAGGGAAAAAACAACGTTATAACGAATATAACGCAATAGTTATCGCTATTATTTCAGGCTTTCGTAATTAAATTTTTCCATACGTAAACAAAAGCAAATAACAAAAGACAAAAAAATGACCGTTATTCTTCGTTTCAAACTTAAAAGAAAAAGCAATAAAACTTCAGCTAAAATCTGAAGAACTGTAAACGCTCTTCAGATTGCTTATCGAAGAATACATCATCTTTAATATTAATAATATTATTATTAAAGACAATAATAGGCAATAAGTGGACCAGCGACTAAAGTTTTGATAGATATTTTGTTTTCGTTGAAGACGAAGAGATTTGAAGCATTGTGAAGTAGCTGTTAGACATTTTATCCACTCACAATAAGAGGAAAATAATTGCATAATATGCGCGCCCATAATATTACAACGCTATGGCGACTCTATCACTGAACTTAAATTTTGTTTTCTTTTTACTAAATTTCAATATAGCATATGAGAGAACATAAGTTGAGTGCCATGAACAATTACTTAAACAATAATTCCGTTTTGATATCAGGCTAAATCGCATTCTCGAGATAAAATTTGCATTATCCAATACATTGAATTCAAAGCGATGAACAGACATCTAGTTAACCGTAATAAAGAGTATATATATATATATATATATATATATATATATATTAGGATAGGGATTCAAAATTATTCGAAAATGGTATTGAAAACAGTGAAAAGCAATACACTTTCCTGGAAGCAGATGACGAGATACATCATAAAAATATTTTCCTGCATTTTCTATATTATTCAAGGAAAAACGTGTAGATATCAGGAAAGCAATTATAGCAAAAGCCGGCCGAACGTAGTGGGCGGAATATCGCTCGAGATATTTCTGTCATGGATCTTCTTACGTAAACATTAAATCGGACAGGGATCGTAGATTGTAATAAAGGCATGAACTGCAATGATTTCCCGAGGCAAATATTTTGTCATTATAGCGTGTAGCAAATCATATTCCTGTTCCAAATGCTTAATGGGTGCTTTTATCCAAACAAACATTTTTTAAGCATTCTCATTTTAGTTTTGTGCAAATTTCAACGAAGACCGCAAAACGTTGATTACAAGCAGTACGCTTACTGACATTTATAGTAAACTAACCAGCTTTACTGGGTACTAATCAGAAGTTCGACTTTGCATAAATACTTCACACACACACATATATATATATATATATATATATATATATATGTGTGTGTGTGTGTGTGTGTGTGTGTGTAGAATATATAGAAAGTAGGAAAGAACTCGTTATGCAAATAATCCAAAGTTCTTTAGTATTTTTGCTATTATTTTTTAAAAATAGTGCTCGATACAAAAGTAGAGCATAAATATAATTAAATTATATATATATATATATATATATATATATATATATATATATATATATATATATATATAAAAAAACTTTTCATCTTGAATGTTTGTGCTTAACGAAATATACTGCAGTAACCACAACCAAAGGGAGAGAAAGATTGAAACTAATTTGAAAAACAAGAGAAACACGAGTTTTTTTTACTTAACGAAGAATAACCGTCCATAGATTACAAAATTTGATCATTGCACTTGAGGAAAATTTCTCTTTCTGCCCAAGCTTCCGAAACTGTGTTCATGAAAATGAATGATTATATAAATACTTTAAAATAAATAAATATTTAAAATATGAAAAGAATTTTTTTTCATATAGAAAGGTGGACCCATAAGTACAACGCCGGACACGTACCTATTCGTTGAATTTAGAAATTAAATTTTCACCGTGCAATATAGGATCTATGATTGATATTCCTTGCTGAATTAAGTGCATTTACAAGGCAGAAGATTATGTTGAAAATATATTGTGTAAAACAAATATTTGTTATCATTAAGCTATAAGCATCAATACAGCGAACGGTTCGGTTTAACTCTCTGTCTACGGACGAAGAGGAACCCGAAGGAGGCTACGCCGAAGGGCGGAGTCACCTTCGGGGAGGTAAAACCGGCCCTGAACCCGTTTATACGGGTTCAAATGGGCTATTTTTTGGCCGAGCCTAATGGCTCGGAAATGCCCACGTTAAAAAGGCCTTGTGCCACATGACACCCTCGTGGGGGGGTGACTGAATATTATACGTATATGTGTATGTATTTTTTCAAATTTCCTATATTTCTATGGAAGAATACGCAATATCGGAGACAAAACACACGCACACACACACACACACATATATATATATATATATATATATATATATATATATATATATATATATATATTGGCCGACCATTCTTATTAGAGTATACATAAGTTGCGCTCAGATATATGCCAACGTTTGCGGGCTGTCTTCTTTGACATTAGTTAATGTGGTAGGGAAATTAATTGATGATATCACAAAACATTGTTGACAGTGCATTCTGTACCATTGATGCCCAAGTGATTTGCCAGAAAGAAATCTTAGAAAACGGTAAACGAGTAAATGGTAGAAGGAAAAAGAAAAAAAGGAGAAAAGGAAGAAGAAAAAGGAGAAAAGGAAGAAGAAAAAGGAGAAAAGGAAGAAGAAAAAAAGGAGAAAAAGAAGGAGAAAAGGGTGAAGAAAAAGAGGAAGAAGAAATTCTCTTAGGTCAGATGAGATTGTTACAAATCAAGGAATACTGTTCGACAGTAAGACGCCCTAATTATTAATTTATTAAACCTATCAGTGACCAACATAAAATACGTTGTTAATTATAAAAATATATATCCAGTATTATAGTTTTCTAAAACATTCACCATTACTCATAGCTTTCTAAAAACATCTGTTATTAGTTATAAATTTCTACCTATTACACATTAATGTCCATTTTTATGAAGGGGAAGCATTAATGGTTTATTCTTGTCGGTGAAGTTCAGCTTAGACGACCCTAACGGGTTACATGACTTTTCACCATGATAGACTGTGGAACGCGGCCAAAGGAGCATCAGAATGGTTCAGCTACAATTCGAATGACTGCATGATGATGCAGCGAGCATGGCCAACGGACTCACAATAGTGATCCTAGAGGTTATATCAAAAACAATTTGAAAGTTTGAAGCAGATACACACACAGAATTTGATAGAGGCAGCTCCAAACAGTAGCCTGAAGAAGGTGGGAAATATTAGGGATAATGTGACCAATATACAACCAGAATTCGTCACAGCCTGCGTAACACACATAGGAGAAGACAATTGCACTTTGACATATATCATAAATATCGACATAGGCCGCATCAAGTTTCTTCCGAATTGCTCTATTTGCAGAGTCGCTGATAATACTTTGCTCGTTTTCTTCATTTTCTATGGACACCGCGACATTAATAAGCTATAAAAAGGCCCGTCCACTGTTCACGCAAGAAACGCATTCATTATCTATTAACAGCTGGAGATAAACGCATCGATTAAAACAAGCAATAATCTGGAGGTCTAATAAACAACATTACGAACACAACAGGTGAAATAATTTTTTTCAATTAACGTTCAATGTTCTGGCTATTATATGGACCTGCACACTTATTATTGGTGCCGGCGGGAAGATGCGTAACTATAATAACTAAAATATGAAGCAACCTTTGAAAAAAGAGAGAAAGAAAAAGAAAGAAAAAATGAAAGAATGAAAAAAGAAAAAGAAATAAAGAAAGAAAAACAAAGGAAGGACACCACAAAGGAAGGAAAGACACCACAAAGAAAGGAAAGACACCACAAAGGAAGGAAAGACACCACAAAGGAAGGAAAGACACCACAAAGAAAGGAAGAAATAAAACAAAGAAAGGAAATAAAAACTGAAAGAAAAAAGTAAGTTAAAAGCAAAGAAAGGAAAAGAAAAAAGAAAAATTAAAATAGGACAATAAAAGAAAGAAAGAAAAAGAGACAGAGAGAATAAATAAAAAGAAAAAAGAAGACAGAAAGAATACATCCAGGAAATAAAGAAAATGATGTAGATAGGATAAATAGAAAGAAAGGATAAATCCAGAAATGAAAGAACATGAGAAAGAAAGTATAAGAAATAAACGTTGCCTTCCTTAGTTTGATATTGGCTTCTCTATTTAGAGGAAGTAACGTCTAAATATTCAGTCTTTATGGAGAAATCTACGTCCACTGGCATAACTGACAAAGAATTCAAAAGAAGGCAGTACCATTTTCTGGGATAATGCTTAATAATAGGAGATTTAAATTTCACCCATGACGCCAGATATTTTTTCAAACGAAATTCACTGTCCATTATTTTTATTTTGCTAATTACTTTAGTACATGTCTCTTAATATTTACTAATATTTTTTATAATGAATTTGACCCACACAAAGCAGAAGGTTTACTGTTTAAATTATGATGATGATGATGATGAATGACGTGTAAAAGTGCATGTGGTAGAAAGTGACATAATTACCAATCCTTGACTAGAAGAGGTTAAGATTATAAAACACAGGGAGCACCCACATGGGAGTCTGTTCCACAAAGTAACATTTTTTGGGAGGAGAAATTTGAGTTGAATCTTTTACTTACACTTAGAACACGGAAGAATTTAAACTATTTCGACTCTGTAGAAGTTGTATGACGTTTGCTAGTTGTAAAGGTCTGAACAGGTGGAACTAAAGAATGTAGATCATCTGAACATTTTTCATGGGAATTATCTAAAAGAGTGAATGATGGACAATCTCCTCAAAGATGAAGAAGGGACTTGAAGCGACAGAAACGTGGTTCTACGGAAAGATGCTGAGGATACTATGGACTGAACACACGTGAGCAATGACGAGATTTAGGAGAAAAAGGAAACTTATTCTTATCACCAGGGAGAGGCAATTGAAATTTCTGGGGTACGTAATGAAGAAAGAGGGCTTGGAAAACAAGATCCTCACAAGACAGATGGAGGGAAAGAGCAAAGCAGTGCGAAACATACTTGATGAGTTTGAGTAAATGATTGTAGATCAGGACTTGGGAGAAATAGCACAAAGGTAACATTTATTAAGAGTTACAAGGAACAGGAAGATGTGGAGCGTCATGATCGTCTACACTCTGAAGGGACACGGCACATAAAAGAAGAACTCAAAGATATTTTATAGGTGAAAGAAACTGCATTGTACCGAATAGTGAATAAATGTCTGCCTGTAAAATCAGTATTTCGAACATCTTAAGGCTTGAACGCTGAACTCTGTTTACATTGACACTTGCTAAATCCCATGACCAGCTTTTAATATATGATTCTAGCCAACCTAAAGCAGCAAGAAGGTATTTTTTTATAAAGACCATCATTTTATATCAAATTAGTGGTTCGGTCTACGTCTGAATATTTAATCACTGTAAAGCAGTAAATATTGAATAATTTCCTGGCAGATGAAATGGAGACTTGAAGCAATAAAAATATGGTCCTATAGAAAGTTAGTTTATTTTGTTTAGCGGTTTATTTAATGCCGACATCTGAGTATTTCGAACACAATTTTATGGCTTCAAATACAGATATATGTATTGTTGGTAATTTTCCTATGAAGAAATATTATTTGTAATTTTTATATAAAAAATGTATTATATTTTCATAGTGTTTTGATTTTGTTTCGCGGTTTGCTATTTGCTCATAGCTGGGACCCTAACAGATGCTACCACCCCAGGTCAGGGTGAACATGGGAACATCAGCAATAAAGAGGGGGTTCGACACTCCTCAATACCTCCTATCTCTACATCAGTGACCTTCCTGACGGATGTAGTTTATCGTTATACCCAGAACTATCTATAGAAGAATGCTGAGTATACAATCGATGGAGCAGGTATGCAACAAGGAAGTTTTATAAAAAGATAAATATCAGAAAAAGTATAGAAAATATGGAGAGCCATGATCGTCAACTACCTGAAGCGACACAACACACAAGAATGAAAAGTAATATTTAATGAAATTCCTGTAGGTTTGATATGTAGATTATTATTATGTCTTTCCTTGGCACAAGGCCAAAGCACTGAGAATCCAGTGAGGATCGTACTCAATATTCAGTTTCAAGGAAGATTGATCTTAACAACCATGATAATAAAACAAGACGACTTTAAGGTCTTTGCTCAGTAAAAATTAATTCCAGTCAGTAGTTTTCCTTACGATGCTACCTCTTGCAGATTAATGATTTTCCAGGTTTCAATCACTTAATTGTTATCTAGTATACTTGACTTTGTACGGTAGACGCCATATTGGAAGTTAACAGGCCGATGAAGATTGAGTTTCATTCATCTTTCATGGTAGAAAGAATCGCCGACCTTCAAAATCAGCATTCTAAAAATTACAATTAAGTGTATTCGAACACTGATCCCTGGCCCAGTCTATTTTTTCTTGATTGTTTGCTTATGTTTTTCATAGAAAGTTATCGGAGATACTAAATAACTTCTGAACGTGAATTACACGATTGCATCACTTCAGGAACTCGAAACTTTAGCCTTCACAATCAGCACTCTAATATTTTTCCTTTTACTAGATTCGAACACTGATCTCTGGTACAAATTGTCTTTATTATTTTCATAAATTTTTTGTTTGCTATGTTATTCCTGTTTTCAGAAACGTATATGAAACCCCCAGACACTTGTATATAAATTATGCCATTTTCAGAAAGAAAGCTATTTTATGGATAAACCTTAAGTTTTAGCGTTATAAATCTGCGTTATAAATTCTGATTTAACTCCGTTCGAACACTGATCTCTAATACGAGTCTAATTTTCATTTCTTTTATTATTATAAAAATGCTTATTTGATCTATTATTGATCTATTATTCGTATGTCTAGAAACAGATAAACACTAGACACCTTTTGAATGCAAGTTACGCCCTTGTCAGAAAGTAAACTCTTGATGGATAAACCTGAAGCCTTAGTTTGCAAAACCTTCTGTTTGTAATAATATTGGCACACGTTACATCCAGTGCTTCTTTCACTCAAGATAAAATCCATCTGCTTGGCCAACCGTATTTCGATGTTTAGCGGACCCAGTACAAGGTACTTCTGACAAGATTGTAACGTATCTTTTCACTTAAGGTCATTTGAGAGCGAGGAGGTAAACTTAATGTCAAAATCGGTAATCAATAAAGTCCCAGGAAATCGAAGGTAAACAAAAAGAAGTCAAAAGGGGCGATACGTCGCAATCGGAGGAATTAAGTAGTCGTCTGCTTTTAGCCTGGAAGAGAAATGAAAAAGCCATCTGTTTGATAAAGGAATGGAGTTATCAAGTAGTTAGTAAGATGAAGTTATAATTTGGCACAAGGCCACAAGTATGTGACTGCGAGTGAGGATCGAACTCACTACACAGTAGTAATGCCCAACCAAACCAGTTCGGTAACTATTACACTATCCCGCCTTGCCGGCAAGGAATTAGAGTTTCTGCCTTAAATTTAATTTAAGATGTTAACACCAAACTGGGCTCAGGAAAACTGTATATAAAAATATAGTTTTAGGTATGTTATATGTATTGGATAAAATGCTCAATATCATAGATATGTAAATATAAATATAGAAGTGATCACTGAAGTCAACACTCAGAGGCAACATACTTACATATATATATATATATATATAAAATTATTTATTTTAAAAAATTATAACATAAATATGTTATAAAATAACTACAAAAGTAGCCATTTTGTTTTTTGGCTATTTTTGTCGTGATTTTATAACATATTTATGTTATAATTTTTTTAAATAAATAATTATATCTGCTCTACTCTGTATTGAGCACTCTTGGTTATTGTTGGTTATTGGAATTCATTCCGTATACACCAATTTTTTATATATATATATATATATATATATATATATCTTATCGGGAGGAAAGATTTTTTAGTACAAAATTGATGATTTAAGCTATTTATTTTTAAATGAAAAGGACAAAAGAAAATTATTTTCTATGCTTAATTCAAAATTTAGACAGACAGTAAGATTAGGTGTCGAAAAATTCCTATCTCATTTGATTCCAAAAAGATTTTCATCAAATTATATCATTAGTATTTATATGTAATGTAATTGCGAGCAGAAAATACTTTCAAAAGTCCTATCATCTCCGATAATATTGTTAAGAGTTTTATTCAATTTTTTTTTGTTTTGACTCCCTTCCTGTTTTAATTAATCCGATGTTGCTACCTAAATGTGGCTTTAAATTTAATAACAAATTGACATTGTACACGTCAGTCTAGGGAAAATCTATGGTTAGAGAACATTGACCAGTTTGCATATGTCAACTTAGGTGAGAAGGTGATCTATAAAGAAATATGTTGAGAAACGTCAAAACGAATATATATATATATATATTATATATATTCTCAGTTTCATTTAATGTACCTTTGGGAAGGGACTGGAATTATAATTAGTTATTCCTTTTTTTATATGAGATATATATATATATATATATATATATATATATATATATATATATATAGATAGATAGATAGATAGATAGATATTAAAGAGAATCCGAAACATTTTAGTTATAATGTAGATTATTTTAAATATATATTATACTTTATTTTCCATATTTTTGCTACACGCGTTTCAGGTCTTTTGACCCTTATCAAGGGGAGAATGGTTATTTTCAGATATTATTTAAAGGAATTATTTTTTCCTTATGTTTTCGTATGTTTAATCATTGTCTTTTGTGTGTAGTAGTACTCCATATTCTTCTTAGATCTGTCAAGTGAATGTTACGCTAAAGGGGGTAATAAAAAAATTACGACTGTCAAAGAAAGAGGAAAGAAAGGAGGTATTTGCTCTAATATTTTTATACACTCAGTATCTTTTTAAACCTATCACCATTTTTGTTATATATAT